AAATATTTAAATTTGAGTTTGGTAACATGTTCTACGGATGACTCTAAATCTGGTTTTAGCTCTCTACTCTGTAGCTTTGCACCTTATTTAGGGTGCAAATTGAGAGATTCTTTTTTTAAAAATATTTTTTTGTACGTGAAAGTTTTCCTGCGTCAAATGGCAAAAAATTTGGTAAGTTGAAAGCTCAGAATTTCATCGTTATTTCCACATTTGAAACTGACTGCAGAAATCATAAGTTTATCGCTTTTATCAGTTTTATTTTGATTTAGGAGCTGTCCAGATGTTTTGTGGCGTCATTTTCATAACACCATCTTTCATTGTTTAATCACTTTTTAACATTAATCCTGCATCCATACGACATTTGGCTTACTTTTATGATTTACTAATATCAGAAACAATGTAATCGGTTCTATAAAATGCCACTATTAAGAGAAAGTTTTTTATCGGATTTTTGAAAAGCGAGTCCTCCACTGTGAGATAAAAAGTGGCTTTAAACACTGTTTCATAGGCGAAGTTTACTTCGAATGCACACAGAATCAAAACGAGAAAATTTAAAGTTTTTTGGAATGGACGCAGAATTCTGTTGGAAACTGATATTAATTGCTTCTGGTTAATTACAAGGGCTTTTTGTTGAAGCAATTTATTTATTATCGTCTCCAACTTTTTAAAATTACTTTGCTGATTGGTTCGTAATATAAATCGGAAACAACTTAGCTGCTGAATGAATTTGAGTCGTTTTACTAGGATTGTAGTAGTTTCAAAAAAATAGCTGCTTCAAAAGTATTCTTTTTTTAGGCTTTACTTGGCTTGCGTTTTTTTTCTGTAGAATTAGTGCATCTGGAACGTTCAAAGCCATTAACTTATATGAGGTATTATTTTTAGATTTACGTAAGTTATTGTATCTTTGTTTTTTTCCAGCATATATGTCTTCACCCTGCCACATAGAGGTTATTCTTTCTGAGAAAGAGGACGTGGTTTCAAAACCAAACGACGAAATAACAAGAAAGACGAAGGAGTCCAAGAAAAAACAGCGTCGAATGTTAGCACGGGGTGATTACTAAAGGAAAATATAACATTTTGTGTTAATTGTTGATTGTTTAAATAAAAAATTGGAGTTTTTCTCAACATTTGTCAGCAGTGGTTGGCCGATTGATTCTAGGTTCCTGTGTACTGTTGTTTGGTGGTGGATGTACTGATCCTTCCTTAATAGGGAAAATTACGAGATATTTGAGGTAGTCCTTTTCGGGAGGCTACTGGAGGATATTAAAAGATTACGACGGGGGGGAGGGGTGGAGGTTGGAGGGTGCTGCGGGCTGTAAAAGGTTTTGAAGGCACAGTCTCTAACAGTTTGGTTAAAGCGACAGGCTTTCGGGCTCAGCATGCGTTGATTTCCAAATACCTGGCAAATGCATCCAAGTAGTTTTCAGCAGATTGTTCAATGTCGTCTATATCGACAGGCTAGACTCATGGTGCGTCGCGGTCCCGGGATTCCCACCACTAAATTTTACGTAGCATTGATAAGTCTGTTCTGTAAGAAATTGTGTTTTTCAAAGTTAGAGTAGCTCTTGCGGAACATTTGGTAGATTTTAGCGCAGTTTTGCACATCACTCACGTTTTTAAAGTACACTGTGAGTTTTGGCATATGGGTAATCTAAATTAGAGTTTCAGTGTTATGCATCTTATTTATATGCTATCAAAAATGACTTTGTTGGCTTTGGAAAAAATGGTTATTTGTAACGGGAAAGGTTTTAAGTAATCAGTGAAGTGGAACCGCTTTTTTAGGCACATGGATTACCTTGGTCTTTAGTTCTGTCTAAAAATGAGACAACTGAGTAGATTATTGCGGATTTCATTCAGTAAGTATGAATGGAAACAGAGTGACTTGGTGTTTAGGAAGATCACCAGGTTTTCTGCTTCAAAAGGTGGTTTTATGGGCCAGAAGATCGGCTTGCGAGGTGAAATATCAGCAGATACTGTTATAGACCATAGTGAGTGCTTTGGTTTTGATGTAAATGAAAAACTGGGTTTGTTGTAAACTAAAGTCAGTTTGTAGTAATTGTTTGACAAATTTATTTGAAGTAAAAGGTGGAAAGGTCTGTGGTAATTCAAAACTGGTTGCATCTAGCAGTGATACTCCTGAGACGTCAGTAAACACCATTGATGCGGAAACAGCTAAAAAAGCAGTTGAATTAGGGATCTCATGTCATCAAGCAGTACGTTTTTCTTGACTGTTTTATAATTCCATGAGTTCACAACTTATAGTAGCTCAGAACTGCAAAAATTGTTGTGGTAATCTGTTATTATTCAAACAATAGCTTGCCGATTTGGCGCCTTAGTAATTCTGCTGTGATTTTTTTGTGGTTAAAAATGCTTACTTGAATTGCAGTTTACTCAGTCATCCTTGGACAGTTTAGTAACTCTTATCGGTGATCTTCAAAAAGCTCATGGAATTATTCCATCGCGGGTCATTTATCTTGCGATGGATTTAGCTCTACGTTTGGTATGTTTTTCCATGTATTAGGAGTTGTTTAAAGGTTCTTTACAAGTTTTTTTATTGTAGCTGAAAGCATTATCTAGTTTTCTGTGTCGCTTTTTCAAATTTGCTTCTCACTGTTTACATTAGGGTTTGATTTATCAAATTTTCTCTTGTTAAGGGTGAAATTAAAGTCGCCGAGGGCCTTTGCGAGCTGATGCCCGATAGGGTTCATGTTTTGGGAACCTCATTACGAATTCGTTTATTTGCGTTGCAGTTCCGGTTTGACGATGCTTTGAAAGAAATTGAAAAGGTGCTGAATGAGGAAACCCCAGGATTGGAAGTTGCATGTAAAATATCAACTTTTGCGCTAGATGAATTGTATCGAGCCATTACCTCAAAAACAAATACTTCTAACGAGGTTTATTTTTAATGATATGCAGCTTTATAAGTTTCAGGGTTTTTGTTCACTATTAACTGCTTAGACTGAGCAGAACTTTTCTTAAAACTATTTAAGGTTTCTAATGGTGTTTTTGAAAAATCTGTTATCTGAGTCACAAAGAGAAACTAATATAAAAATTTGTTTTTCAATATGCATTTCATTTAGATTCGACGATTCCGGTACCTGCAAAGGGTCCTTACTAAGTATGCTCGAAGGACGAATGCTGATTTTGCAGTTTTGCTGTATTCTCATGTGTATACGCAAGATGAACTGCAGCCAGAATCGCCCCGTACTTCTCTTGAGGTTGATGAAAAAACCACAGGGAAAATTCTTAAGTTGTCTCCATATGTTTTATGTGATGATGAAGAGTAGTTAGGATTTTTGCTTTAAAAACCCTAAAATTACTCATTTTTTTTGTTCTTTTTTGAGCGGCACGTGATTTGACTAGTACGCATTTCTCTAACCTGCCTTGAAACAGTAATCGCTTACTAAACTTTTCAAAGTTTTTGTTAAAAATTGGCTATTATGCATTCCTCGAAACATATTAAAACGGACAAGAAAATTTCGGGAACTTATGAGCACTGCTGAGAGGACGTCGTTTTGGGAGACGCTTTTTAGTACTAATGAACATTTAATAGCTAGTCGTGTTGGTGGTTCAACAAATTTTTCTACTTTTTGTTGTTAAGTGTATCTTAATTTTCTTCGTTATTTGTCTGTTGTGATTGGTGATAGGTTAAGTGAATCTCATGCTTTCGGATAAAATTGAAAATTAAAACAGAGCAGGAAACTTTAACTCATACTTATTTTCATGCAAATGGTCAAAATCAGTTCTTGCTGCATTCGTATAATAAATTTATAGGTATGTTACAGAATATATTGATAAATTGCATGAAACAGTGATAAGAATTATCATTAGATTGCCATTATTTACTCTTGGCAATGGTGTCTCCCAAACCTTTTCGCCTACTAATTTTTCAAAGAAAGAATATCTAATATCAGTTCTTGTGCAAATGAATTTTTTAAATTTTATCTAATTTAGAATATAATTCAATTTCTCATCCTTTCTGCTTGATTTTTTCTGATTCTTAAACGAATGAAGTTTTTGCTCAGTACAATAGTGTGTAAATTATGCAGTTGCTATAAAGAACTTTTTAAAAACTGAACCGGTTTTAAAAACTTTTTGGTGTGCCTAATAGACTCATCTAGTGTTTTATTTTGAACTTCCGTCTTTTTTGTTCAGCTTAACTGGTTTTTGAGTTTTTTTTGCCTCAAGCGCAACTTAGGGTTCTAATAGGTTACTCAGAAAGGTCTTTTTTGTTGTTGTTGTTGTTGAAAGCTATTTTGCGTGATCTGAAATCCTGCTGATGAATAGTGTGATTTCTCGTTAGTTTTGCTTATTGGGTACTTTCATTTTTCTTGTGTATGGCTTTGCGGTATGGAATGATTGATGCAGAGCATTCTTTGCCACTATGTTACACTGAATATTGCACAACCTGAAACTCTGCCATCTTACTCTTGTTCATCCTGTACTTTTTTAGGTATTCTATTCTTAGTTCATACGTACTTATTCTTGATTGGCTACGGGTCTATCACAACGTGATTTTGATCGTATTGGCTTCCAGACTTATAAGATCTAAATAAATCGATAGAGTGAGAACAAAAAATAAATGATCTTTCACAGTAACAACGGAAATGAATGGGCTTTCACAGGAAAAGTTGGGTTGGTTAAATTTTTTGGAAAATTGGCAAAGATTTATTGCATTTATTCTGCATTAAAATCTAGAAGTTGTTTTCAATTTCCTGGTACTTCTTATAGGATAAATGAATTTGAAAGTTAGTGAAAGATTAATGGAAGAGAAGCTTTAAATGTTGTTATTGTTAACTGCGGAAACAGTGCTCTGATGCGATGTTTGCTGCTGAATCAATTTTTGAGGGACTTGTAAATAGGCCCTGCAAAATACGGTATTTAGAGCTCAGAGAAATATGATGTCTTATCAGGAAATCAGTTTTTTCTGATATTGGTAGACAAGAAGTGAAGTTTTCAAGGTGTGGCACATTTTTCTCGTTTGCAAGCCGGTTCTGTTTAGGCGATTGAGGGTTTCACAGATTTAAGGTACAGGTAGAATAGCGGCTTGACGGACTGGTCAGAAATCTGGGCAGCTTTTTTTATGCATTGGCAAAGATGTATAATCAAAAATGAAACTAATATGTTCTGCATAGGATATAACTTTATCAAATTAATGTTCTTAAGGAACGCTGAGGTTAGAGTGATCTGTGAATAAAGGTTCAGATACAGCAAGGATAACTAGAGATTGGCAAGACTGGAGATTCAAGACGGAAAGATATACAGCAGTTAAGTAACTTTTGAAAAAAAGAAAAATATGCCCGAAGGTTTTTAATGTTGACGACTTAAAATAATTTACTGCTTTGCGTTGTTTAGTTTGGGTAAGTAAATTTAAATAAATCGGGGGCGAATTATTTAAATGAAAATATTGAATGGCAGGAAATTCCTAAAATTTGACTTTATGATTTTATTTCTTATTTTTTTCTTTTATATCTGTAATTTAAAGATCTGACCTGTAAATTAGAAAATGTTAACGCAGTAATTCTAGAGCCACTTGGTGTGGTCTACGTCCACTCAGTTTATTCTTTTTGTTGCCGGATATTTATTTCATTCGCTATTGCACAGTTTTGGCATTTCAATCTTTATTTGCTTTTCCTTTTCTGCTAAATTATGATTACTTTGAAACTTGTTGTTTTTACAATCAAAAGAGGTGATTTAGCTCAAAATAAATTTAAATAGTGTTTGAGGATAAGTCAGTACAGAAAGGTAACAGAAAAACTGGAATGTCCAAAAGTTCGTAAGAAATCTGGCTGGGTAATCTGTGTTTGTCACTTCTAATCATGAATGAGCAAAATTGGTGTTTGCTATTGTACAGTCTGTAATCTATGTATTTTTAGGTTGTCTAAAGGTTTATTTAGTCGCCTGATAAATGTTGGTTCTAGGTGTTGGCTGCAGCAAACAAGTTTTGAAGATCCCACATAAATCTTTGTTTTAGAAATGGTTAATTCAGAAAATTCCAACGACAGCTTCATTTTAGAAGAAAACTCAAGAACAGTATTGATACCTTTTTGACTGATTCACAGAATAAATTTTAGCATAGTTTTGTTGTCTTTTTTTTTAAAATTTTTATTGAGTTATGAAGTGTTTTCAAATTGCTTAAATGATGCCACTTATTTCAATGTTAAATAAATGAAAATGATAAAGAAGGGGGTGGGGAGGAGTTTTTCTTAATTTAATATTACTGAGTGATTCGCTTAATAGATTAAAATGAGTTGCCTTTGTTGGTATTGGATAGTATTCGGGTAAAATTTACTAGCTTTACGTTAATCTGTATTGTCTTTTGAAACTTCTTGAAAAACTGTTTATTCCGATTCTACTTAACCATTTTAATTGAATTACGGTAGTTGTTTGTATACAAATAGGTTTGACAGTAGAATACCGTCGTCACAATGTCAGCGATTTTCGAATGATCACCTGTCAAAATTGTTTTTCTTTTTGCACATTCTTTTTGAGCAAAAAAGTTTTTTTTGCTTTTATTTCTGCTATTTTGTAACTTTAGGAAAAAATAATTAAATTTCATATTAATTTCCACTCTTTTTTGCTGTTTTAAACGAAAGAAAAGAAGAATAAAAATAGAGGAAAGTACTCATTCTGTTTATCAGTGCTATTTGTATTATCGATAACATTAATAGGGCAAGTAAATGACCTGCCAGTATATCAGACAAAACAATGTTCTAGTAAGGAGCTGAAGGATTGTGACTTTGTGGAAATAGAATTTTGTTGTTAATTTGCTCAACTTTTATATGCGTCATGAAGGCCGTTAATCTTCTATGAAGATTGTACTACGATACAGTAATTCTTAATAATATTGATAAGTTAGTCATATTTTTCAGAGAATTATTGGTAAAAAATTCTGAAGCCGATCGGGTGTTAAAATTGTAAAAAAAACGTAAGGATTGAAGTTCTTGATTTTGCAAATTAGCGAATAACGTCATGCTTGGTTGAACAGGTCTTTATCATTTATAATACTATATGTGTATAAAGATAGATATGTATATATTTTTAATTAATGTTTTTTGTAATAACACTTACAATTAATTAATGTATCATCAAAATAATGCCACTTTTATTTAGTTTTTTCTTCCTCTGTGAGGGCGATTTTCCGCGATGGCGTAAGAAGTTTATCAAATGGTAAGAGGGCGGTAAGTCGATTAGGTGCGGCAAACAACAAAAAAAAGAACGACTAATTTTTCTCCTTCATTTGTTTTGAATCTAAAAGGGTTAGAAGAAGAAGAAAACGAAGAAGGGAAAAAGTTAAACTTCTGAAGTTCACTGAGGCAGATTAAAGAGCAATTAGTATGTAAAGATTGTTGTAGCGCAACTTCTCTTATTTGGTTCCGCTCACACTTTTCTGCTCAATGTTTTCTTTACATTGTGTTTCTTCTACTGTATACCTAACCGGAAAATAAAATAAGTAAAAACCAAAAAAAAAAAAGTAGTGGATAGAAAAAAATTTTTTGTCGAAATAGTCAAACAAATGAAAAAGGGAACGGAACTTAAACAGCAACACAACAGAAAAAGCAAGAAAAAAAATTTAGTAAAATTTTAATAGGTGACTGTGGAGAGAGCATAGGGAACGGAGAAAAGCTGTTTTTGTTATTTATTCCCAATCAGTTATTATAGGATTAAGTCTGTCGGAGGGACAACAGAAGAAGAAGGTTTCCATCTGCTTTCTATTTTTTAAACCATATTTTTTCTCCTGGTTGCATTTATTTCTTCAATGTTTATTAAATGTATATGTACAGACTTTCTTTTTTTTTTTTTTTTTTTTGCCGGAAACAGTTTAACGCTAATTGCTTAAAAAAGGAAATGAAGCTTAACTGATTATCGCTGACCCTATCAATTTACAGCAATGAAAAGAAAAAGCGACGATTAAACTCAGTTTGCTTCTCTTCTATATATTTATCTGCATTTTTTTCCAATTAAATTTATTTTTTATTCTTAACGTTTGTTTTTTCAAAATAGTACCGATTAATATGTATAAAAAAGGAATTTGTTTTAGTCAAGCGCTGCTTTTATTTCAATTTTGTTGAAACTGTCAACAACATTCTTTATTTTGGACATTGGTTTGCATAACAACTGCACAAGATGACCACAACAATGAGTTTGTTGATGTTGATAATGATGATACTGGATGAGCTGTTATCCATGTAGTTCAAAGAAATATATAAGAATCAAGTTTATGGCATGATTATCCGGATTTAAAGAGATTCTTCAGTATGACCTTAGCGTCGTAGTCAGTAGTGTT